GGCTGACTTGGGGACGCCTGGGGCAGAGCAGCTGGGGTGCTGCCGGGTTGGTCCAGTAGCGCCCAGAGCGGCGCTACGAGACCAACCGGCAGCGCCCCAGCTGCTGTACCACAGGCGTCCGGAGCAAAGCCGCGGAGCACAGGGGCAGCGGGACAGCCAAGACGCGCCGTGGCTGTCCTGCTGCCCTCGGGCTCCGCGGCTTTGCTCTGCTTTGCTTCCTCTCCCTGTTCTGCTGGAGACCAGGGAGACGGGCCCCGTTCGTAACTGCGGATCCGACGTAAGTTGGATCCGCGTAACTCGGGGACTGCCTGTACTAACTCTTCCCCTTATGTCAGGGTGGGACTGTGTTAAAATGCCCCTATTATCCACCACATGTGGCAAGGTATATACACTCTCCCCCCACCCTCCCCAGGGGAGTAGTCAAGTCCCTAGATCTCTTCAAGTTATGCTCCAACCCCGCGTGTCCAACGTGTCTCTTCAGTCCTAAATCCCCAGCCCTCCTGTTGTGACCAAAGGGCCTAACTGCAGCAATTAGTACTCAACACCCCTCTCATTGGGGCAGGGCAGCCTAGTAGCCGGAGTCAGTATACAATAGGTGCAGACCTCACTGGTTAGGGAGATGAGGCAAAAGGGGGTAGAGGTATCTGGGCCCTCCCTTCTCCACTGAAAGATAGGCCACTGCTCGCTCAATGGGGAATCCCAGCACAACACGCTGAGCTTCTTGGGACTCAATCTGCCATTCTGGGCTACTTCTTCCAACCATGCTCAGCAGAAGTCTCTCCAGGATCCTTCCTCCATCTCTTCTGTTGTGCTGGTGACCTGCTGGCTGGTTTCCAAGGCAATTCACCTGTAGGCACTCCAGCCATGCCTCCTCAGCCACCGACCCTGACTGAGCCTCTCTCCAGGCTTTTATACCAGAGCTGCAGTCTGAGCATGCCCAGCAGGGCAGTGGGGGCAGGGCTTCTTCAGCCAGGTGAGCCTGTTTGAAGCCTAGCCTTTTCCCATGCAGAGCTGGTACACTCGGTCACAGGGTGAAATTATACATTTAGCTTTCTTTTCAGCTCCCTCCCTTTTTTACATAAATTTTTCCTTTCTTACTGAGAAACTCTTTAGACAGGTGACCACTCCGTCACTATTCACTGGATGATTTATTTAAAACTACTTCACTTTGAGAGCTCTCTCTTGATAAACTGCAGACCAAGAATATTGCCACTTAACTGACACATTCTATGATACAATAAACAGCTTCGTATCAATCAGAATTAATAAGTCACACGTGGACAGCTTCACAACTATCACATTACAATTAAATACAAAACAAAAATCAGCACATCCCCCTGTCTAAACTACACCCCCAAATAAATGCACTGACATACAATATTTAAAAACTCAGAAGAAATCATTATTGAATGGATCTTTCAAGAAATAGGAACACACCAAAACTACAAAAAGTTAATCTATTATAAATTAACACACTATATTAAGGATAATGCATACTTTTGGCACTCAGGTGTTTGATTCATGCATTAGTTTTTCCACTGCTAGCAATTACTGAGGAGTGTTTTTAAAATCAAGTGGCAAATATCCTCCCTCCCCCCCCCCAGTAGCTTTCCCTCTCCACAATGGTGTTGATGAAATCATATCTTGGTAATTGCAACTGACTCATAAATTTAAAATTATTTAACTGATTGTTTGGGATTTTGGAACTATTAATTATATTCTATACAGTGTGCCATAAAAGCTTATGCAAACTAATCTGCAATCTAACATCTGGCTATATTTTTGTGTCGTGTTCCTTTTCAATGAACTCAAAGACTTAGTGGGCCAGTATATACATCAAGTTTCCCAAAAGCAGGTTTCCCACATTGGATAAAATGGATTCTATTCTATAATTTCAAAAAGAACAAAGTTCAATGAACTAAGTTCTTGTTCACACTCACTGAGACAGCCAATAATTAAGAATAAATGGTTTAACGACTCGGAAGAGTAATAAAGCAAATGCCTTTTCCTTCAATAACATCTGAAGGATGAAGTCAGAACAATTGGTTTTGATTGCACAGCACTATTCCTTTGAGTGTAATATATCAACAGCCCACCAGGGCACTATCTCCACATTCCTCTCATCTGGATGATATGACAGCCAA